AATCACCCTCTGTGTTCCAGCACACCTGAAAGCCAAATCTGTCCCTCCTCTCTCTCACATCAGCTTTGTTTCTTTGAAAGGCTACAGGAAAGGAGAAAACCAAGGGAAAAGGGCAGCCTGATGGCACTCCCTCCCAAACTGAACCTCCACATCATGGAGCCCAACATCCAAATATCCACAGAATCACAGAGTTTGGGATGGAAGGCACCTTAAAATCCATCTCAATCCACTCCCTGCCATGGGCAGGGACACCTTCCACTATCCCAGCTTGCTTCAAGTTCTGTCCAACCTGGCCTTGGACACTTCCAGGGATCCAGGGGCAGCCAAAGCTTTTCTGGGCAACCTGTGCCAGGGAAGAATTTCTTCCTACTATCCAATCCAACACTGCCCTCTGGCAGCTTAAGGCCATTCCCCCTCAGTTTTGTCACTACAGACCCTTGTCCCAGATCTCTCTCTTGTAGGCCCATTCTGGGGAACAGGACAGCACAACACCCCTGTGTCACAGAACTTTCCCCTCATTGGGTTTTATTAAAGCCTTTTATTAAAGCCCCGGGCTTTGGAAAGTCCCCCCAAGGTCACTCTCTTGGAAGTACAAGGATTTTGGAATAAAAGTACTCGTTTGGATGAAATTTTGGGGAGGAACTGGTAATATGTGAGCCCAATCTTGCTGTGTCTGCAGGTAGAGCAGCTGCTTCTGATTCCCTACACTTGCCTTCAGGTGCTGCTGCAATACAGACTACATTTAAATATATACACACACACACAAAATTATAATATGATTACATTATTAAGAAGCACTGGCTTTGTGTTCCCATGCAGAGATTATCTGTTGGCTTAATTTTTTTTTTTAAAGCTGCCTGTCTTTGATGGTATCCCATGGAAAGATTACATATTAGATAGAGCAGCACATGGTCCACACAGACCAAATGTGGGAGATGAAAGCAGAGCACCAAGAGCTCTGTTTGAGCTCCAGCACTGCTTCTTCCAGGACCAAGGAACAAACAATTTAAAGCAAAAAAAAAAAAAAAAAGGGTTTTCTTCTCAGTGAGAACAAACAGGAAGCTGCATATTAACTTAGATCAGTATTACTTTGGTATCTCTATAAACCACTGCTTTCTATTAGAAATTATTCATGAATTATTCAGGAGATTTTCAAACATACCTACATGTAATTCCAAACTCTCTATGCACAAGAGTCTGAATTATCTGCTCAGCTTTTTTAGAATATTGAAGTACTTGCCTTTACTGGCATAAACTTATTTCCATAGAGGTTTTCTTTCTGTCCCTGACTTTTTCCTACTTAAAGAAACCCTGAACTCTTGAATGTTATACTTTTACATTGTTTCCCCTTCTCCCAATCCAACTTCTTACTCTTCTTTCCACCAGCTGAAATGCAGAAATCCCTTCCAACACACATTTGAGTCTCCCAGCTGCGTGCAGAGCAGCTGGTCTTGGCTATCCACAAAATCAAAGGGAAAGTGCCAAAGTCCAAAAGCTCAATTATAGTGAAAAACAGATGAGGCTGAGCCCATTCCAGCCCTGCTGCAGGAATACACAGTGGCTGAAGCACTTCCAGCTCAGCCACAGACAGCCCAGCTCCTTTTTCCTGGGGGGGCTGTACAGGGCACCAGTAACACCCCAAGAACACCAGGAATGTTGTCAGTCTCCCCATCCATGAATGGAGGCCACACCCATCCCACTTTAATCCAGCACCAGGGATAAATCCTCCCTCTTGGCTCACTCACCTGAGGGTCACTCCATGGCTGCACAGCACCCCAGCAGCACAGAGGCCTCAGCACAGGGTGTAGGTGAGGGTGCTGTGCCCTTCCCAGAGCCCCCAAAATGTGCACACAGCTGAGCAAGTGCACGCCAGGAAACCTGGGTTTGCCAATCCTGTCACCCTGAGCACACAGCCATTAAACCTGGGTTTGCCAGCCCTGTCACCCTGAGCACACAGCCACTAAACCTGGGTTTGCCAGCCCTGTCA